ACTCCTTCCCGGGGAGTCCTCTGGGCTTGTTCAGACAAGTTGTTCCCGTCATTATCAGTTGGGGAATAAGGGAGTAAGACGGTCGCTTTCAAGTAGCATCGCATAAATTAGCTTCAACTGAACTACACCGTATGTGAACCAAAATCTTCTGTCACAGTGCTGAACACTTAGTTTATTCGTGGTGACCCTCCAGGACATGTTCGATGAAGCACATTTCAGGGAGACCACCATGAACCCCATGAGCCAGCCCCTGGCAGTGGCCCGTGAGCCTGCGCTGGTGCAGCAGGAGTGGCGTGTTCATGCCTGCCCACGAGAGAAGTGAAACCCCTCTCAGTTGATATGTTTTTGACCAAGGCGCAGGAAGAGATCCTTGAGGGATTATGTGTAGCAGTAGAAAAGCATTTTCTTTTAAAGTCGTGCTCTGCTAAAGGATGAATCATAGCCACAAGGCTGATGATTTTGGGAAATATTTCCCAACTGGATAAAAACCAAACCAACCAACCCAAATCTAATGCCATATTTAGATTTGCATGACAAAATAGAGTGGGATCCTCTGCAAGGCACTTCCATATTTTCCTGTAATGTACAATCAGTGTTTACCCTCTGAATGACTCAGAGTCTTCAGGAACACTTTCCTCTTCATATCCGAAATATTGAGTGAATTTCTCTTAATTTCTCTTTTCTGCTCTAGGAGCTTTCCCAAGAAAGAGGAAAAAGAACTTTTGTTCCAGGTTTGGTTTTCCCTTGTATTTCCCTGCCCCCACCTTTCCCCTGTTGCTTAAATCGTCTTTCCCCTATAAGCCAGGAGCATCTTTTTTCCACGCAGAGGACTCCTGGCATGTGGGTATGTGTGTGGGCATATGTGCCTGTGTCTTTGTCAGCAGAAAGTACTAGGGATAAAAAAAAATACTCTGCAGGGGTCATACCACCATCGGCAGGTCCCAGACACTGATATTTTCCACACAGGAAATTATCTTTGGCCAACATCCCCACAGCAAGGTCACTAATGAGAAAGTCAGAAGCCAACAGGGTATCCTCAAGGCATGTTTAATGTCTCAGCTTTCTCAGTGGCAGAAAACCAAGACCCTCGTTCAAAAGATAAGCAGCTTTTCACCCTTTTTCCTTATGAGTTCATCTATTTGTCTATACTGTACTTGCTAGCTGATGATTTCATATGGAGGTGTCAAGTATTGCCCCCTCGACTCGTGATTTGTTTTAACTCTCTTCTTGAAGCTAATTGATGCTGACCTGCACAAGATATTCACATGGCAAAGCCCACAAGCTGCGCTGTATTTCAGCATTTTTTTTTTTTTTGCAACCTTTTCTTGAGCCCAGCCTAACTATTGTCAATTTCACTATAGCTTCAAAATCAGCTTCCAGATAACTCTGGTCATGCATATGCCACTCTGCCTTTTGAATATTTTGAATTTTTAAGACCGAAAGCAGAATGAGAAAAAAGTGCCTGATTTCCATGCTTAGGAGGTGAAAGCAAGGATGATGATGAAAGGAAGCAGAGGAGCATGAGGTTCACAGCTGTGGCAGGCCAGCTCTCAGCACAGCACAAGGCCAGGGAAAAGTGGAATAAATCATGGGTTACACGTCAGCTTTTGGATCTCACCGTTGTTGACTTAAAGGGAAAGAAAATTAAAGAACTGTTGAATGCTGGTTTCCCATCAGAGGTAAAACCAGAGAGGGAGGGAGAGCCACAGAGGAAGCTGAGCCACCTTTCCTGCAGCAATTTAGCAATGAACAGTGGTCAGGGGAGTTTTTTCCCAGGGAAAATGACTTGGTCCTCAGATGACAGCCCATACGCAATTACGATATCTTACCGTAAACCTTGAGGCACATCCTGCCGGTGACAGCCCCCAAGAGGAATGTGTTGAAGATGCACTTGTAGCATCCTTCGTCTTGGATGGTGACTCCATGAATGGAGATGGACGAGACTTGTAACTCACTGCGGGCAAAGCTCACATGGCCGACATAGGCCTTCGCTATCTTTTGGCCGTTCATCATACTGTAAGTCGCTATGTTGTCTTCAGCCCCGTCCGTCTCCTTCTGCCAGGTCACCTGTAGCACATCTTCTTTCATGACCGACCGGCATGAAAAAGTAATGTTTCCTCCTGCCTGGACCGACTGGACCTTTCTGTGCATCACCTGCACGGAGCCTGGGGGAGAAGCGGGTGCTGCACTCAGCATTTCTCACCATCCTTCTGCAACCCACCCCCAGCAGAGGCCCCCCAGCCCCTTGCCCTCACTCCTGAGCAGAGCACCTCCGGAGTGTCTCTCTGCCCCTCCATCCAGGGAAAAAATGAAAATGCAGCTCAAAAGAATTGCCCTGAGAATTTCACTGGACCTGACGCCTCTCACACAAAGCATCTCACCAGCCTGATACCTGAGCTGCAGAGAGCGCAACCAAGAAAGGCAGCTCCAGTGTTGGGAGCGACTGATTTCAGTCTGCTAAGACTCTTATCCCACGGGCACCTGTGGAGAGGTTCCCTGAATGTTCAGCTGTGCTAATGTCCAAACGGCCACTGCTGCATTATCACTCTCTCAGCCCTCCTGAGGCACAGCAAGAAGCAGATCAGTAAAGCTGCTAAAAATTCTTACGTGTATCACTATACATCGTGCATCCACATTTGTCAGAGACTGATGAGAGAACAGAAAACCAGAAGGAAAAAGCAAGGTAGGGAGGACCAGAGGCAAACTGCATCTGTCCTCCCATCTCAGGCTCAAGACCATGCAGCTGGCAAGCAGCTGAGACCCTGCTGAAGGCCCACAAATAGAAAACTTTAATAGCATAAATGCCATGGTATTAAAGGTCTCCAGGGGGAAAAAAAAAGAAAAAAAATCAGTCTCCTTTTCCAATTCACAGACACATGTGGAAAAAACCATTAAGGGGACAGGCAATCAAAATGGATACTCCCAGGCTTGACAGCTCAGCTCCACAGTCCTCTTAGGATAATAGTTTTTAAAGTTTATTTGTGTACCTCGGCATGGGAAGGGAGATATCAGCAGGGACAGTTACAACACTGAAAACGTATAATTCAATTTACAGGAAAGGGAAATATCTCTGTAGGTTTCAAAGAGGAGTGAGGCTGTCTGCAGTGCCTAGAGGTACACTTGTCTAACCCACCCGACAAGGCTCGCTCAGGTCCTGCCCTCCCCGTGGCTGTGGCCATGGCCAGTCAGGTCTCCACAGGAGATCAAGAAGGCAGCTGTGAAGCTGTGCCAGTCATTTTGCTTTTCAGAGCTCAGTACCATAGGCAGAATACAAACCATGACCATGCAAGCTAGTTTGAAAGAAATTCAGGCTTTTCTACATGATTTTTAATTACAAAACCAAATGTAACATACCCACGCTTTTAGTGGCCTGAGCAGACACCTACGAGCACCATCACTACAAATAATTCTGTCCTGGCTACAGCAAATCAGTGCCATACTCTGACCCAAATCCCAGCCACAACAGGAGATGAAATCAAACTTCAGTCATACAGGTCATTGGGAGCATTTGGACATTTGCCTGGCTTATGATTTGCAAATTGCAATAAGTTCATACATCTGTCTGCAGCTTGTAAGTGCACTGGTGGTCAATTAAGGAGAGGACGCTGTCAATGCAACCAGCAGCGACACGTCTGAAGCCCGAGGCGAGCGGTGCGGTTGCGTGCAGTGCCACAAGTGCCCTCTTACTGCTGGGCTCGCCCCAGGGGATGCGGGGCGGGGGGACGGCAGCAGCCAGCACCCAGCAGCGCAGCAGCAGGCTAGCAGGGCCACCGCAGTCCCTAATGCCGTTACAATAACAATGCAGACAGACAGACAGACAAGGGATTTACCTGATGCAACAGTCCAGATGCTGGAAAGGATCAGATAAGCGACCATCATCTTAGCTGTGCCCTCAGCGAGACGAGAGAGCAACTGATCCATGAGCGTGGCTTCCCCTTTTTTATACGCTTCGCTCTTACTCTAGGGACATTCCTGTCCCTGCACATACGGTAAGAGGCATCTCGTAAAAACCTCCTGCCCTCCACCGCTCAGCTGAAAAGCAAAAATTTTGGGGGACATGACAACAAATGTCAGAGCCAGAAACCGAAGATTTCCCAGCTAGGGTGCTAGACAGATGGGGTAATGGGGTTACAAGTCTGGGTTTTTCACAAATACCTTTTCCATAAGGTTGGGCTTTTGCAAATGCCTAAATAAAAGCCCAGATTTCTAAACTGGCTGAGCACCTGATGCCTGTCAGTCTGCGAGGGGCAGGAGGACAGGCCAGCCTGGCTCAGGCCTGAGCTCAGGGAAAGGAGCTCAGGTCAATAGTCGTGCTGCGATGAGTAGTACAAATGTCCCCAACATGTAACTCAGAGGACCCAGTTAGGGGTCTGCACCCCACTTGTAAATGAGTGGAGATCCAGGAGCTGCTGATGCTGCTCTAATGCAACTCTTTTTCCAGGTGAGGAGACCAAAGCAAGCCAAGAGCCCAACCCAGGGCCTAGGTCATACGTTGCCTGGGGGAAAAAGCAGAGCCTGGGTCACCCCTCTCCTCCCATTGAGGTTGCCCCCACCTCTGCAGGTCCATGCTCCTTCCTGAGCCCTGTCCCTCAGAAACACAGGGCTGCCACCCCGCAAGTACACCCATTCCTCTCTGCCCTCACCTGAGATGACATAAAAAAAGCTCACGCAGCCGTTTTGAGTCATTGTTTTTGTGCCTTTTTGCTTTGTCATTTTTGTGCCTGTGTTTCTCTTTTCTGCTGGCTGTGATCACGTTGCTGAAACCAACAAAACCCTCAGGCCACACGTTGCTCATGCACTGTGTGGTGGGGCAACCAGCTGGCAAGATCTCATTTGCAAATCAAACTTGTACTGGTAAACTGTGTTTTATGTTTCTGCTTTCTGATTAGGTGACTTATATTTTTGCAAATTCTTACTACTCCACATGACTATGATTGCATTAAAAATGTTTTCTTTGAGTTGAATTGCTGCACAGATTAACCTTGATTCATGCAAATAGGTTGGAGGAAGCCAATGGGCCCAATTCATAACACAACAAAAAAAATTCTCAGACATTCTTGCACATACACTTCTCTCCTCCCAAGTGCTAATTAACTATCTGCAAATAGAAACAGTTCAAGTACCAGTATTCCTCTAAAGAAACATTTTGGATGTGCTTTTGAGTAGGTTCAATAATTCATTCCCGTCACTGCGCAAACTGCAATCGCTTCATACTGTTGTCCTTTTCCTTTGAGGTATCACATCTCATCTTCCTTTCCTTTCCTTGTTTTCATAGTTGCATTTTCCTGCACAATTTCTGGAAGGGCATTCTGGCCTGACCAAAATGTGAAATCAATGAAAAACAGTTCTTGTGGTGTTCGCCAGACCATTTCACAACTATTCAGCAATGCAAATAGCTTCAACAGGCTCTGGACCAAGTCAGAGGGAAAACTTCCAGCCTTGAAATAGAGAAAAAAAGCATTGAAGATTTACTAACACTATGCCCCTTTGCACCAAAGCCTCCTAGCAGGGTGCAAGTGACCTATGCAAAGATTCATTCCAGGCTTTGCTGGTGTCCTCAGTTTAACTCTGCTATAATTTTGAAACAAGAGATTAACAGAAGAACTTTCCGTAAGCTTGCAGACACTGTTGATGAAGTCCTCATAGCTGAACTTCACCACTTAGTGATCACAAAAGGAACTGCACTCGATGTAAGAAAGAACTGCAAGCCCAGCTGATGCATTGTTCTGCTCATAGGAAATGTTCTTGACAGCTTTAACCATTTTGTTTTCTGCAAGAAACACTCTAATCTTCCAAAAGTCCTTCCAAACAACCCTGAAAACCTGGGTGCTGCTACAGCAAGCACCTTTCAATAGAGAGCAAACCTTCAGTCTTAGCAATATCCGAGCAAAGGATAGAGCTGGCTATTGCGGTTGGAAAAATGTGTTGACTTTAAATTGTTTGCAGCATCCCCTACCTGGAGATAAAGAGTCACATAGGCTAGCTGCTCCTTCCAGGCTCTGCATCTCCCCTGACAGCTCCTGATGCCACAGGAAACCTGGGCATGCAGGGACCTCCCTCCCAACCCATGTGGTTGCAGCATCCGATGGCTGCAGCATCTCTTTTTGACCCCTGCTTCCTCCAGGAACTAGCCAACATCAGCAGTTGATTCATTACCTTAAACATAAGGTAGACAGGAATGTAAGGTCCACTCATCAACCCTACTACTTATTTCAATTTTGTGAGTGTATCTTTAAGCGCATTTATTCAGACAGTTCCCGATCTGTTCACCTTTGCATAGACTTGTGGTGGATTACAGACCTCTTCCTTGCTTGTCAGTCAGATCCCATGCTCTCCTGCTTCACTTGCACGGCAGCTTAATTTCTGAGAACTGCACACCATGCCTGAGCTTCAGGCACTTTCCAAAGCCAGTGAAAACTTGTGAATGAATTAAGCAGAAGATAGTTTTGCAACCACTGCTTGAAAAACCCAGTGATTCACATTCTTCTCTTCCTTTCTGCTGTGCTAGGACAGTCTCTCTAGTTCCCAGTAAATCAAAAAAGGACGTACAAGAATTAAATGCACAGTCACTAAATGACAACATTTCCACACAGCCCAAGTAACTAATGATTTCGATAAATCACACAGTTGAACTTCTGGAAAATGTTGCTGACGGTAGCCACTCAGGTGTAGTTGTAGTCTAAAACATTGTTTCGTCTACCAGCGATCTAAACCATTGTGTTTTCAACCATCCAAACCCAGGTTAACAACTGGGTAGCTGCCTACCTTGTCAGCAGGATTCAGTGTTGCCTTTCAAGGCATTGCCTGCAAAGAGAACAAAACAGAGGGAGATGGTTTCATCCACTGCTGAATTGTAGCGACGTTTGGAGGTTGGTCCATCAGTACTAGTAGTAGGTACCACTATTGGGAAGCAGCTTTGCCAAATGCAATTGAACAGGCCTGGCACTTTACAACATGTTCATAAATAATGCCTGCGTACAGCAAATCCCTCTACATCTTGGCTGGATTTGGAGAGCTGCAGTACACTGGGGTAAAGACAGTAGCTGCATCTACTGACATACGCTCCAGCCTATGTCGCTGCATCGGGGCAGGCTGCGGCAGGACCTGCAGTCAGTAGCCAAGGGATGCTGCAGGACCAGGTGATAGTCATTTGGGCAGGGTTACAGTGTGTCACATTTGTGCACAAGTTTTAGGTCAGATGGCACAAAGGTAGTTTGTATGCAGCCACAGCTGTTTATCCTTGGTCATGTTTGACGTGGAGATATTTGATCTGTGATGTCTTCCCTAACTGGGCTCCCTCCCTCCACTGCCACGCTGCTGTTGGCTGCAGTAAAGGACTGCAAATTACAGCTGCTGGCACTGAAATCTGGTGTGGCACTGCCTAGCAAGTGCAAAGGAGAAGCAAAGAAGGGGTGCTGCTTAGCTGACACCTAGCTCATGGTGGAGTACACCTATCTGCAAAACCACGTTACGAGGGGCACAGCACACCTTGTGAAACAGCCCGGTTAACCGCCCATCACTTCTCACCTCTGTGTTCTGATGAAATTGCTGCAGACACCTGAAGTCTTACTGAGATTTTTTTTTCCTTTTCCAGCAACATACTGCAATCACAATATGTGAATTAACACATACTTACTCCCTGAATCAGCCCTGCAAATGGTACTTCTGGTTCTTCTGTTTTATTTCTTCCTTGTACCTCAGGAGGAAGAAAAAGGGATAGAAAGGAGACAAAAAGGAGAGGGAGAAGCAAAACCAGATTGCATTGGAAAGCTTCAGTGGCAAAGGTGGTGCATCATTGGGGTTGAAGGGTTTGTTTACCATTCAGTTTGTCACACCATTTCTCAGAAAAGCAAGATGGCCAGGCATGTGGTTTCCTCTTTCCCAGAGCACCCCAAATTGCTATTTCAGTCAAAGGATCCTAGAGGGAGTCCATGCTGCAGCCTACTAGTCACTTTGTGGGGGCCACCAGCACCAGCACGCCCTTGCTGACCCCAGGAAGCCATGTCACTCATCCATTCCTCCCCGCTTCCTCTCCCACCCCCCCTTGTCAGCGCTTGTCTGCGGTGGAGGCTTTGGGTTTTTTATTTTAGGTGCACAATATCTGGGTGCTGCATGCAGTTACGGTGTGAGACATAGTGAGCTTTTTTTGGTCACTGAGTTTCACTCTGTAACACAGCAAATACAAAAGTAATTCAGCCATCAGGGAAACCACACCAAAATTGGCTACTGAAGGGTGCAGAGATCCAGTGGAAGGATGGGAAACTGTCTACCAAAAATAAGGTAGGTTCAATACCATATTATATTTAATTACTTAACAAGAGGGCTAGGAGAGTAGTTTTATTAAAAATAGGAACAAATGATACCTGCAATGAATCAGCCTTAAGGCACCATGAGGAGCCTCTTGATTAACAAAGGTAATTTAGCAAGCAAATTAAGACAAACAATATAGTTCTTAGCATGTCAAAGAATATTGCCTCAGGATGTTTTTTTATGGAGGTGACTTCATCCTAGGCTCCCAGCACTGAGAGCCTCCTGAAGCAGGGAAGGGAGTTACAGGTGCGAAACACAAGGAGCAGAGAGTACTTGTCATCTGCTCCGGGCTTCCAGGCAGGAAAACTGCACTTAGAGGTCCATCTTGCCATCTCCTATCTGTTGTACCGTGTCTCATAAAGACAAGCTTTTATATCGGAAGATAGTATAACATTGAAAGAGATTAGAAGTATAGAAATAGATTAAATGATATAATATAGTTAAATGGTGTACAAGGTATATACAAATATACTATAGTTTTGTACAACAGTGGGTAGGAATATATTATCTCCTAGGGAGCGCAAAGACAGAGGAGGATGCTTGGCAGGAGCCACCCAGGACAGGCGGGT